TAATATTAAATTTGATTTCCTTAATAAATTGATTTTTAAAATGTAGAATTTGTTTTAATAATTTTAACTAGTTAGCTGAGATTCATTTATTTATTTTGTAGCAATATTATATTTGTGTTTATAAACAATATTTATATATAAACAATGCACAATCGGTTTAAATTTCTTTTATTGAAATGAGAGAAATTGTGGTATAAGAATTTTGAATTTTGTTTACAGTTTAATCTATTTCTTAACCAAGCAAATTTTTTGATCAGTTATAGGACATTTAATCTTTTTTAAATGTAAAATAATGATTTAAATTGAATTTCTAATTGTGTCAAACAAAACTTGTCAAAGCAAAGTCTTAAATGAATAACTCCTATGAGTTCATTTAAATACTGTATTATCAAAATATGTTACTTTATTTCTAGGAACCACAGTATTTCTTTAATATTGTTACTCTGGGCATTAATTTTTTAATAAAATTTTATTTCTGGTAATTAAAATTAATCAAAACATAAATTTATTTTTAAAGATAATGAAGTAAAGCTCAAATTTTTTGAAATGATAAATTTTTATTTGTAATTTTTTTCCTGTACCATTATTGTAATAATAATTAGGCTGCAATTTGAAAAAATTGTAGAACTCTAAATTTCCACTGTCATTTGTCTGCCTTCCCTTAATCTTGAGAACAGAGTTATATAGATAAAATCCAAGATCAGATATGGAAATCTCAGGCAGGAGGCCCCGATTAACTATACATAAACTTCCAGTTTGCACCAGAAATCACATTATTTCAATTCAAAACTTCCCCTGAAAGCAGTTAATAGATGATCAGCACAACTCTATTGTTAAAGGAAAAGTGTGATTTTTGGGGGCAAGACACTACTAATAATTTGAGGTGGAGAGCATATATTTTAAATTAAATTAAAAATATGATTGTCATAATGCCAGGCTGCAATTTTTAATGTTACAATAATAATTAATTGTTCATTTCTTTTAAGAATATATTTTTAATATGTATAAAGATCTATTCTATATATATAACATACTTAGCTTTAAATTAATCACAATGTTTTTTCTATCACAAAAAATAAATAAATATTGAAATGGCACCAGGAATTGATGAATCATCATTAAATTTTTACTATGAATAATCTACATTGGGAACATGTGGGCAAAAGCTCACAGGGCAAGCAAGCAAAGTGACTGGGAAGAGTAAGCCCATAATTTAACTATAAGAAAGGGAATTTTACATTAATGCAATCAGAAGTCATAGATTTTTTTTATGTAGTAGTATTTTTTAGATATTAAACAGTACTGTAAAGATAAACCAAACAAAAACTAATTTATTTACATTGTTGCTAGTGATTGAAAGGAATTGTGCATTAAATTTAATACTTTTTTTACAAAATTAAACTTATGAATTTTTCATAGATTCTGTAAAATTACTGTTAATAATAATTCAAATTTTACTTTAAAATCTAAATGTAGATTGAAGCTTACAAATTATGTAAAGCTGCATAATTATGTAACCAGGAAGTTTACTTGTAGATGTCTAACTTTATACTGCAAGACAAAGAACAATAAAATAAATTTTATATTCTTACCTATTTTAAAATGAACAATAGGCTTTTAGTATGTTTACAAATCACTAAAATTTTAAGTTTTCTTTTTTTTCTAATTCCATCCAAAAGAAATTTTATTTTACTTGTTTTTCAATGTGTGTACACTGTATATGGTGTTCAAAAATTTATTATATTTTAATTATAATTTTTTGTAATCAATTTACCAAAAGAATTATTTGAAACCAAAATTTTTTCAATTAAATCAAAAGCAAGAGATTAAAAACTATTAGTGCATTTTATGCAATAATAATTTCAAAAATTTTTAATACATTTAGGAATAATTGAATTCATATAACAAGGCAATGTATTTTTTTTTTATTATTATAACAATGAAAGAAGCAAAGTATGTAAATCTAAAGATTTTCTAAATGACTAATGAAGTTAAAAGTGCATATTTACTGTTCTTAGGGATTTAGGTTTGAATATGAGTCAGATGATCAAGAATTTTTCAGGATAATCTGGTTCAAATTTGTCCATAATTGTTCCTTGCCTTTCATTATTTAGCCATCCCATTACAAGCCTAACCAAATCTATAATGAGAATGACTAAATGCCCTTCAAAATTTAACCAGCAAATATTAGCTGGTTTAATTTTGAAGGTTTTATTGGTGTTGTTTATTAATATATAACCATCTGTGGGAAGATATAGACTAAATGCCCTCTTAATTAATACATACAAGATAGAAATACAGAGTAATACAAGAAAATAAAAACTTATATAATTTAATTAATGATATTACTTTATAAATTTATATGTATTACATATAAATTTAATGATAAATTTATATGTAATATTAAATTTGATTTCCTTCCTTAATCATCATAAATTTGTAGATTTATAAAATTATAATTTTTTCTTTTTATGCATTTATTCTCAAGTTATAAAATAATTTTAATGTATCAATAGTTGAATAAATTAAAAGTATCTCAATTTCTTAATGGTAAGATTATTATAATATTTAAATTATTCTTTATTAAAAAATAATAAATGTATTAAAATTTCATAACAGGTTTATTTATTAATGATAAATTAATTTTATTATTTATTTAAAAATAGAATTATTTAATTGAAGATAATGAAATGGTAATTTGTCGGATTTTTAAATTAATGATGTTGATTTGTATAAAATCTTTATTTTTTATTTTTATTTATTAATATCAATAAAAACAATGGTCAATAACACTTTAATATTTGATTATTAAAGTGTTATTGACCATTACTATCAGGTGATATAGAAATTCTAGATCTTACCATAAAGTAATATTTTTAAATAATAAATTTTAACAGTTAATTCATTTACAATAAAAATGTGTTTACTATATAGATTTAAATATTATTTTTGTAGTTGTTAAAATTGGGAAGAAAAATCTTGGGACCAAAACTCTTCAGACTTCTTATGAAACACACATTTTATGGTCATTTTGTGGCAGGAGAAGATTCTCAAAAAATCAGACCAATTATTGAACGACTTCATTCGTTTGGTGTCAAATCAATATTAGATTATAGTGCTGAAGAAGATATAAGTGAAGAGGAAGCTAAAGAAGCAGAAATGAAGTTAGTATAAAAGTTTCAGAACTAAATTTTTAAAATTTTATATATATCCATAATTAAGAATTTTTTTTAGAAACATAAAAAAGTTAATGCTATAAAGTTCATTAATTACTAAATTTTTATCTTGATTCAACTTTTAGTTTATAATAATACAGCTATAAATTTAATCAACTAATAATTCAATATTGTATTTAAGGATTGTAATCTTTAGAAATAATATAAAAATTTGTATTATTCAAAATTATGATAGTTGTTCAAGGTTAACCATAATTAATGTTTAACCAAATTTAAATTACTCAAGTAGTAAAAAGTTAAATATTTTATTGAAATTTAATTGCAATTTAACTGATTTCATAAACTAATCAAATTATAAACAGATTAATTTTAACCACTATTAGTTAATTATTTGTTTTATTCTTATTTTTCAAGGATACTGTTAAATCAAGAGAAATAAGATAGCTTAAACGATTTCATAAAAACTGTCCTGAAGTATGAATATACAGTCGACCCCCCCCCCATAACACTGTTGATTATTCTGTTTTATATGAATTCCATGTTGTACAAGTCACTTAGATTTTACAAATATGTGAGTCGTTCACAGCCCAGCACATGTATTTGTAAAATCTAAGTGACTTGTACTGTACGACATGGAATTCATATAAAACAGAATAATCAATAGTGTTATAGGGGGTTGACTGTATGTATGTGTGTATATATATATACACATACAAGTACATGTACAGTACCATACATATCATTTCATAAGGTTATACAATTTAATGTATGTACCGTATTTATAAAAAGTTTTTTCCTTCTTTATATTTAATAAGAAAGAATAAATCAAAGAAAACTTCTCTGAAATCAATGTATTTGATTTCAGAGAAGTTTTCTTTGATTTATTCTTTCTTATTAAAATGCAAACAAAATATTATAAAAACAAAATTCATTGATTAAAATAAGCTAGTTAATTACTTGAAATTAAGTTAAATGATTAAATTCCAAGTTAACAATTTTTTGTTTGTAAATATTATTTAGCACTAAACTTTTGATTTGATATAAAGAATGCACTGAATAAAAACATTTAGATTCTTTTTACAAAATTAAATTTTTCTGGAAATTATTAAAATGAATTGCAGTTGAATGAATTGTTGATTTGTAAAAATTTTGATTGAGGGTATGATTATAATTTTTATAACAAAATGTAATACAAGTTAATATAATTATAGAATTATCTCAAATATTATTATGTAATTTACATATTTTTTATTCAGAACATAGATAATTTTTCTTCATAAATCTAAAATCTCATTTGTGTGAATGTTTCTCCACTGTTATGTACTTATTATAATGAAAGTTTATTGTAGAAAATACAATGAAAACTTTTTTATGTTTTAATATGAGAATTATGCATAAATTTATAGTTACTTGTGCAAGTTTATTATGAATCTAATGGACTTATATCATGCAAACAATTATTCTCACTGTATGTTTATATACATCTCAATGTTTTAAAATGTATAAAAATAGAATGTTTATGACAGGTAATTGAATAAGCAAAAATAATGAAATATAAGTTTTTATGAATTGGAATGAATAAAATGTTTATGCTGAGATTATATTTAATCTGATGAATGGTAACTGAAATTTCCAAGAATATAATTTAATTGTATGTTTTAAAAATGCACACTATAAGTTAATATATTAAGTCAATAGGAAATATTACTCATGTGAAAAAAACTATTGTTTGCATATGTTTTTCTAATATATGAGGATTAATAATAAATCTTATCATTGTAATGCCATAAATGTTGTTTTAATTTTTTATTTTAAAATTACTTTACAAATATGATATATTGTACAATAAAGATTTTATTTTGATGATTTTATTTTTCTTCAGAGGTTGTATATCTGCTGCTGATGATGACCAAGAAGGTAAATTTTATTTATTATTTCTAGTAAATAATTATTAATTTATTGAATATTAGGATGTTCTGAATATTCTTAATTAATAAACCATATTTTATCAATTTTATATACATAGAAAATCTATCAAAAACATGGTTTTAAATATTAAGACCTGAAATAGTTGTCCAGTCAAACAACAAATTGAAATTATTTCATAGCTGAATTCAATACAAATATTTGTCTTCTATACTATAAATCGTTATAAAGATCAAACAGATTACTGAAGATTGAAACAATGGTTTTTCGGCAAACTATCTTCTCAGTTTCACAATGAAACAATGCATTATTCAGGCTAGGATTTTCAGTTGAAATGACTCATCTTTCCCAATTGAAAGATGTCTCCTCCTAATAAGAAGTTATTTCAATCATACTTTTACTTTTCAGGGTTTTATAGAATATAACATAGGGAAAGTATAGTGAGTGATAAAATTTTGATCCCCTGGTGTTTTGCATTTCTCAATGTTTTGAAATTTAAGAACCCCAAAAATGTAAAAAAAAAATTTATTTAATTATATCTGTGTCTATTTTGCATTATATCTCAAAATTGGATGAATCAAAAATTTATAAACATGGCAGGATTATTTCTATGTATGGGCCATTGATGCCATTAAATTTTGATAATTAAAGTTCGAGGGATGGGGAGTTAGAAGTAATGTTGAATGGGGTCAAACTTAATGGAAACTTCTCATTATTGAAATTTACAATTTTTTTTTAAAACATCTCTACTCTCAAAAGTAAACCTTTGCCTTTTTATAATAATTAATAATATAAAAATTATTTTTTAATAAACTCTTATAACAGATATTAACACACAATTTTAACTTTGAGCTGGTGTTTTTAGTTTTTTTTAAGCTTAAATATTTTTTAAATAGAGAAATTTATCATAATTTAAAAAAATTATTCCTTTTAAGCTTTTATTATTTAAATTTTACTTCATAATATATAAAAGCTGATAAAAATTTATCAGATTTTCTTTCTGATCTCCTTAATCTCCTGTTCAAGTGTAAGGAAAGCTGGGTTGGAGCCCTTTTAGCTTTTTTATATCTTATAGTTGAGAAATTAATTTCATAATGCTTCTTCTTATATAATTTATATTAACATTTTTACTATTTCTTATATAAACATAAATAGTTTTGAGACAGTGGTTTCAAACAAAACCAATTATTATTGTAGTTCTGAAATACACTGTGATAACTTCACATTTTTTAATTAAAGTTAAAGAAATTATTTTACATATATTATTATATAAAATAGTTTCATAAAAGATAATGAATAATATGAGATGTTAATCCATTCATGTCAATTAATTATGCATTATATTATTTGGTAAAACAAGTTAAATTATTTTCTCTAGGAAAAAATTGTAGATGCTTGACTTGCAATGTTAGCTGGTAGTGAAGATAAATTCTTTTTATGAATCTCGGTTAATATTGACAAAATAATATTTATCCTATAACATTTAATTGGACTACAGACTAGTATATTATCTTAAGTAAATAAATAAAATAAATATTTTTATTTTTTAAACTGTCAGAAGGAATACTTAGCTGGTTGATTGACAACATAAAACTAGATTAGTAAAAACACTGCATTCCTAATTTTAATCAAATATAATATGTCTTTCAGTAATAACTTTTTGTATTTGCATTTAAATAACAACAATTTTTTTAATGATTTATCATTTATTAGGGAAGCTAAAACAGTATCGACCATACAAGGAGTTTGCTGACAGAAGAAAATATCATGTTACTGCAAGAACATATTTTTACTTAAGTGAAGCACAGTGTGAAAAAAACATGGAAACATTCCTTAAATGCATAGATGCTGTAGCAGGTAATTTTATTTTTAATATACATATTTAAATCAAATGTTTAATAATAATTAATAAAATAGTTTGATTTAGTCATAAGAATATAATAGTTTTAGCTTACTTGACTAATTATTTTATGTTTTTAAATTAAATGTTATTAACAATCAGGAATATATAGCCTTTCAAAATTAATTAATTAATTTGATTTAAATTCAATTGCGACACATACCGAAAATCAGAAGTATTATCTTACTCACATGTGCATTGAAATGTAATTTGAATAACTGTGTCATCAATGATTCATATCATGAATGTAATGACATGAGGCAATCCCAGTACCACTAATTTCTGAATTGGAAGGCCTATTGTTGATTGGTCAGGCCATCAACTTTCTGTAGCACAAGAAGTATTGGGAGTTGATCATCTGTGGAGGACTCTTGCCAAGTAGCTTGTTCAGCAACTGGAGCAAATATGACATTCAAAATTTTGTTCTTAATTAGAAGTGTTTGAAACCCAAAGTTTGACTGTAATTTGTAATATATCCAAAATATAAAAGTATTAAGCACAAACACAGTTCATTAATTATTGCAGATAAGCATTATTCATTAACAAATGTCTGCACAACATATTACATTGCATTTACAAACTTGTTGAAGATTTTGGACAATATTCTCAATTTATTGGATATGACTTGAACATTTCCTGTAAGCCTATAATCATTACATGATCAACTGGGTATTGCTACACTGACAATATAATGTATCTTATTCTATAATAATAATAATTTTTTTCTTTTGTATTAAATAAAATTTCATTATTGCAAATATTTATTAATATTTTGTTTGTGTATTTTGATGCAAAAGCTAATATAAATTTAAAAACATTAAAATATTACTGTTAGTTATTAGCATATATAATAAAGTGAAATTAATTTAAATAATATATTCTTATAAGGATTATATAATTTAACAAAATTTTAATAAATTTTTAGGTACTACAAAAGGTACAGGCTTTGCAGCTATAAAAATGACAGCTTTGGGCAGACCTCAGTTGCTGGTAAGTAACATCCTAAAGCATGCATAGTCAAGCTGTGCAAAATAAATACCTGTACTCCTTTTTTAATAGCATGGAAACTTTTTAATTTCATTTGAAATTTGGAATTAAAATTCAATAATTCTTATTTTTGGCAATTTAATTTGTCTTTTAAGATTTAATTGAACTTGAATTAATTAATGATTACAATAGCTGCTAGTTTCAATTTTGAATGGCATGTAAACACATTAAGTGTATTATATATAGTAAAATCTCATTAAAGCAATATAAAAAAATTCTGCTTTATAAAAATACAGGATATATTTTATAAAGCAATTTTGTATATTAAAAATTACATTAAAGTTAAAAACTAAGTATATTTTATGCCAGTTATAAAAATTTGCAGTTATGGTTTAAAAAAATGTTTAATGAAATGCTCTTTTAATGCCACACATTTGATAAACAATTTAGAATTGTTGTTTGTTTATTCATTTCTGCAACTTTATAAGATACTAGCTGTTACCCACAACTTTGCCTATGCGGATTTTGCAAGCAAACTCCATTTATATTCAGTATTTTAACAACCATAGTAATTGTTATATAACATTTTACTGCTGAGAATAATGAGAATTGCTGAGAATCAAACGAACTGTTTTCAATTTGATCAATTTTCTGAAATGTTTACAATCATTCTATAATTGAACCAATATGCAATAACAAATTCAAATTTAAAATGGTTCAAACATTTGGTTAAAAAATCGAAATATATAAAAATATTTATAACAATGTCTGAAATGTTATCAATTTAATATACTTAAGCACTCAACAAAGACTAAACATAGTTGAAATCAAAAAATCGCATCTAAAACTGTACAGTAGAAGCAGTTATTTAGGTTAAGCCTTAATGCTCTCCCTCTCCCCATGGGGGAATTTCCAAAAATCCCTTCTTAGTGTGCATTTTCATGACGAACCCTAACTGTGTACCAAATTTCAACTCTTTAGGTTCAGCAGTTTGCTCTGGGTGATGATGGATCAGTCAGTCAGTACAAGTAATTTTATATATTTAGATATATCAAGAAATTATCTTTTATAAATATTTTTTATCTTAATAAAAATAGTTTAACCTTTACATGATATTCATTTTAGAATATTTTAAAATGATGGTTGATTACAATAAATCATATTATAAATATTAAATCAACATTATTATTTATTTTTTATCATAAATATAAATTAACAAAGTCATTTAATATGAAGGAGTAATATTAAGAAAAATTAGAAAATTTGCTAAGAATTAACAGTTTTTAAATTATTGTTCATATATATTTTATGATGAGGTTGACAATGATCTTCAGAAAAGACCTTTATTTTGTATAAGATCTGTTCTAATCAGTACCATGAATCATACCTTCTATATTTTTAATCTTAATTATAGTCTGCATATGGCAAAACAATTCTATGCCAGACATAAATGCATGAAGTATTGATTTATGTAGTTCTTGATATTGAATATTCTATAACAATTTTTATTGACAACTCTTGTGATTTATGATGATATACTAATAATAATACTATTACTAAATTTACTAAAGATATTTGGTATTTTAATATCCTAAATAATTTCTAAAGAAAAATTGAATGAATAAAGTCAATGAAAATGAATTAATATTTAAATTATGTGTAAATATTGTTTTTATAATCCCTGGCATAAAAATTAATGATATAAAAAGCACATATTTTTTTTTTTTTTTAATAATAATCTTTATTTGTCGTAATAGGCTTTTGCCTGTTACAAGGGCGTTTAGTTTTACATAAACGCGTATTAATTTAACATCTCAATTTTTTTTTTTGTCTTATTAACATTAATATATTCTATTTGCTAATTAAAAAGCACATATTGGAATTGTATTGCATTCCTTTTGTATGATCTAATTCTATTAACAGTTGATTTAAAAAAAAAAAAAAAAATATTATAAATGAAATAATAATCAAAAAGTCAAAATTTATAAAATTAATGTAGTTTTATTTAAATTTTAATGGATAAAAATTTTTTGTATCAATGAGATTTTGCTATATATTTCATATGTTCCATTATGCAAATAAAAAATCATTTTCCCAACTATTATTTATCGAATATGTATGAGTCAGTCCCTATTATATTGAAAATTCATTGTTAATAATTTATTTCAGCTATTAAGATTTGGATTATACATAAATTCTTCATAATAGTTTAACAAATATTTTAAAATGTATATCAATTTATTTATTCAAAAGAATCTTAATATATTCTATAATTCTTTAGATTATATTTTGTAAAATATAATTTAAAGTTTTATTTTTTACATTACAACATTAATAATGTTAAAAGAAAATTTTTATATCAAAATTAATAGGTAATTTGGAACTTAAAATAATTATTTGAATTTAAATTAGATGGCTATTTTATCAGTAATTTGAAAGTATATATTCTGATAAAATAGAGTAGAGTAGATTTTTAAAAAAATTATCTGACACTTAATTTGAATTAGCAACTTGCAGAATACAGTTTCAACATCTAATTTTTGTATTAAACAACTAAATGTATTGTCATAAGTTATAATGAAGATGATTATATGATGAACTTAAACCTTAAATTGGAATTGAACTAAATTCAGATTGATTTCCACAGTGTGTCAATGTTTTATTTTATTGTGTGATAAATATCTCTCATTTCTAAGTACTAAATTAGAATATACGGTAATATTGAATTGCTATATTTTTGTTCTGCTTTATATAAAATATAAAGTTAAGATATAATTGATTATTCTATATAATAATTGAAAATGGTTGATACAAAAGGTAATGCTTATGAAATAAAAAGCAAAGTTACTTCCCATTTTCTCAACATTTTTTATATCTAAGTATATAATGTATTCTCAAATTGGAAAGACAAGCAAACAATGAAAAGAAAATAATTTTTCAATTTTATAATAATCAAATGTTTTCATATAAATATATTTAAAATAATAGCTGGGAAAATCAGATGACAACAATTATAAAAACTTCTTTTGATGGATTCTAAAATGCTTAAACTTACTTTATGGAATAATGAGTTTAAGCATTTTAAAATTAAATTTCATTAAAACATATATATGTAATAAATTTTAAATTAATAATTCATGTTAATTGATTTTATACAATAATTGTTAAATAATGTAAAAATCAATGGCAGACTAGAATTTGTATATTATTCAAAAATGTCAGTTTGTAAATTCACTCATTAAGTTAAATAAAATCAATCATAATATAAATTTTTGTCAAAAGTTTTCAAATAAAAAAAAAATTCTAGTATGTCAGAGATTAGAATTTTTGATTGTAATCAAATTAATTGTAAAATGTTCTCATAATTATTTTGCTAATATTTTTTCATTTAGTTAAATACAGGAAGATAAAGTTAGTAAAAATTATAAAATTTATAATAGTTTCATTTTTAATATATTAAAATGTTACATTTATAATTATGTGGATCAAAACAAAAGTGAATGAGTTGAATGAGCAAATAATAGTACTAATATTTAAAAAAAATTTCAATTAATTTAATACATTAAAAACTTCACTTTTATTATTTAAAACTGATAAAAAGCTTTAGAAAATGACATGTTTTATACATGCCATTTTAGTTTCTGTACTTGTATCTTTTTAACTTCTTTCCAGTTTGTTCAAAAATAATTAAACAAATAATTTTTAGTAATTTTCAACAAAATGATTTATAGTACTATAAAAATATTTTTTAAAGAGATATATAATGTTAATCTTGGTGTTGTTAAATATTTCTATTTAAATATTGTTTATCTTCACAATTGGAGCTATCATTTAACTAAAACAAATAAAAATCTAACTTCTGTGGAATTTATTTAAAGTTTAAGTATAATGTAAATAGACTTTCTTATTCAGTTATCAGTTCTTTCACGAGGGTAAAAATCATTTTTAATACATTAAAAAAGTTTAGTAATACTTATATAAAGTGCAAAATAAAAAAGTTTTATACAGTAATATAGAATATTATTCATCTAGTATTATTTTATGTATTACTTTTTTAAACAGAAGTTGCTCCTTACTTTTTAATATTAAAAAGATATTGTTTAATATCACATTTCTGTACAGTTATTAAAATCTTCTAGATAAATGAATATCATAATTATTAATTTGATTAAGTGAAATATAATTGTGAAAACGAGAGAGGCATTCATTCTTGCCAAATTTCAAAGTGGAAAATTGATTTATTTATTAATGTTAATTAAAAGAAAAGTCAACTTAAAATCAGAATTTCAATTTTCTCACTTACATTGTAAATTCTCAGCATGTAATAAATTTATGAAGGCACTTATTTACAATACTTCAACAAAACATATAGTTCTTGCTTAATGGCTGAAAACATCATTTGTTCAAATTTATACTTCCAATGGTGATTTATATCTTCAAAAGCATATTAAATCAAAAATGAAAAATTTGATTGTCTTTTTTTCTTTTTCAAATAAAAATAATTTAAAATTATCGTTATTTATATAATTTTCGATTATTATTACTGTTCTTGTGTAAGATTTATTGATTCTATTAGTGTGTATAAATATAAAATCTTTGCTATCAAATCTAATATCAAGTTCAATGACTTGATAGCCTAATTTTTAAGACAAATTATATTTTAAATGTACAAATAGAGATTGTTCTGTAGCAAGCATAAAACAGCATAACTGATGCATTGTGACACATGCTATTTTGTTATACTGTATATCATATTTCCTGTTCATTTCCTTAAACATTCACAGTCCATTCTGTTTAAGGAAAGATTTGATATTATATAAAGAAATGTTGAGATTGAAGTAGAATATCATTATTAAAATTTCTGATATAATTTTCATCCTTGATATTCATATTTGAGTTTAAATTATTTTTACATTTGTAAAGTTTATGAACTTGCACAAAAACCTTAAGATTTTTGATTTAAATAATTATTTACTTTTTTGATCCATATAAATATGATTTTTAATTTTATTTGCTTTTCATATTCATAAAAATTAAAAAATAAATAAATTTTCTAAAAAGATTCCTTTTATTTCAAGTTTTTTAAATATGAATGATAAATACTTACATTACATTTTAAAATTTAAAAATTTACTTTTAAAAATAATTGAAAATTTTGATAATTTTAATATAATTTTTTAAGAAACTAAAATTAGTATTTTTTACATATAGTAATTTTTGTATCATATATATAATAATAAATTAAAATTGGAATCTTTTTAGGATAAAATACTTTTTATAGAATCATTTTGTCATTCAAAATAATAGGGAAAATTTTTTGTTCAAAAATTTTCTTGAAAAATATATTTTATAAAAATATATTATGTATGTAAATTTTATTATAAATTCCAAATTTTAAACTGAATAGAAATTTATTCCATGCATCGTATTCCGATGGCATTGTGAAAGTTTATGCTCAGTTCATTATTTTGAGACGCACAAAATAATGTATTTATTTGTGTAGACTTTCAATTTCCATATGTTTGCAAGAGCACAGCTTCATGCTGGATGCCAACAGCCTTTGGCAATGTTAACTCAGACTGCTCTTTTCCAGGTTCCATCGCAACAGCTTTCCTAAGTGGACGTATTGAAGTTATTCTTTCTTAGTTACAGTATTGCCTTTAAGGGTTCTTGCTGAAGAGGGGGAACCCAAGAAGGCAGTGTTTCCTCAGGGTGATATTAAATCCTCCTTTAATGGGGGTGGTCAGGTGAGCATGGGATCTGATATCCCATTGAAATAAGCACACCTGTTTGTTACAGTCAATACCAGTTCTAAAATCTGGTTAGGTAAAAACAAAATGTATAAATAAATAAAAAAAATATGAAGCAATACTTGATTTTTTCATCCTATGTGCATTTAAAAAAAATTTCAATTAATTTAATACATTAAAAACTTCACTTTTATTATTTAAAACTGATAAAAAGCTTTAGAAAATGACATGTTTTATACATGCCATTTTAGTTTCTGTACTTGTATCTTTTTAACTTCTTTCCAGTTTGTTCAAAAATAATTAAACAAATAATTTTTAGTAATTTTCAACAAAATGATTTATAGTACTATAAAAATATTTTTTAAAGAGATATATAATGTTAATCTTGGTGTTGTTAAATATTTCTATTTAAATATTGTTTATCTTCACAATTGGAGCTATCATTTAACTAAAACAAATAAAAATCTAACTTCTGTGGAATTTATTTAAAGTTTAAGTATAATGTAAATAGACTTTCTTATTCAGTTATCAGTTCTTTCACGAGGGTAAAAATCATTTTTAATACATTAAAAAAGTTTAGTAATACTTATATAAAGTGCAAAATAAAAAAGTTTTATACAGTAATATAGAATATTATTCATCTAGTATTATTTTATGTATTACTTTTTTAAACAGAAGTTGCTCCTTACTTTTTAATATTAAAAAGATATTGTTTAATATCACATTTCTGTACAGTTATTAAAATCTTCTAGATAAATGAATATCATAATTATTAATTTGATTAAGTGAAATATAATTGTGAAAACGAGAGAGGCATTCATTCTTGCCAAATTTCAAAGTGGAAAATTGATTTATTTATTAATGTTAATTAAAAGAAAAGTCAACTTAAAATCAGAATTTCAATTTTCTCACTTACATTGTAAATTCTCAGCATGTAATAAATTTATGAAGGCACTTATTTACAATACTTCAACAAAACATATAGTTCTTGCTTAATGGCTGAAAACATCATTTGTTCAAATTTATACTTCCAATGGTGATTTATATCTTCAAAAGCATATTAAATCAAAAATGAAAAATTTGATTGTCTTTTTTTCTTTTTCAAATAAAAATAATTTAAAATTATCGTTATTTATATAATTTTCGATTATTATTACTGTTCTTGTGTAAGATTTATTGATTCTATTAGTGTGTATAAATATAAAATCTTTGCTATCAAATCTAATATCAAGTTCAATGACTTGATAGCCTAATTTTTAAGACAAATTATATTTTAAATGTACAAATAGAGATTGTTCTGTAGCAAGCATAAAACAGCATAACTGATGCATTGTGACACATGCTATTTTGTTATACTGTATATCATATTTCCTGTTCATTTCCTTAAACATTCACAGTCCATTCTGTTTAAGGAAAGATTTGATATTATATAAAGAAATGTTGAGATTGAAGTAGAATATCATTATTAAAATTTCTGATATAATTTTCATCCTTGATATTCATATTTGAGTTTAAATTATTTTTACATTTGTAAAGTTTATGAACTTGCACAAAAACCTTAAGATTTTTGATTTAAATAATTATTTACTTTTTTGATCCATATAAATATGATTTTTAATTTTATTTGCTTTTCATATTCATAAAAATTAAAAAATAAATAAATTTTCTAAAAAGATTCCTTTTATTTCAAGTTTTTTAAATATGAATGATAAATACTTACATTACATTTTAAAATTTAAAAATTTACTTTTAAAAATAATTGAAAATTTTGATAATTTTAATATAATTTTTTAAGAAACTAAAATTAGTATTTTTTACATATAGTAATTTTTGTATCATATATATAATAATAAATTAAAATTGGAATCTTTTTAGGATAAAATACTTTTTATAGAATCATTTTGTCATTCAAAATAATAGGGAAAATTTTTTGTTCAAAAATTTTCTTGAAAAATATATTTTATAAAAATATATTATGTATGTAAATTTTATTATAAATTCCAAATTTTAAACTGAATAGAAATTTATTCCATGCATCGTATTCCGATGGCATTGTGAAAGTTTATGCTCAGTTCATTATTTTGAGACGCACAAAATAATGTATTTATTTGTGTAGACTTTCAATTTCCATATGTTTGCAAGAGCACAGCTTCATGCTGGATGCCAACAGCCTTTGGCAATGTTAACTCAGACTGCTCTTTTCCAGGTTCCATCGCAACAGCTTTCCTAAGTGGACGTATTGAAGTTATTCTTTCTTAGTTACAGTATTGCCTTTAAGGGTTCTTGCTGAAGAGGGGGAACCCAAGAAGGCAGTGTTTCCTCAGGGTGATATTAAATCCTCCTTTAATGGGGGTGGTCAGGTGAGCATGGGATCTGATATCCCATTGAAATAAGCACACCTGTTTGTTACAGTCAATACCAGTTCTAAAATCTGGTTAGGTAAAAACAAAATGTATAAATAAATAAAAAAAATATGAAGCAATACTTGATTTTTTCATCCTATGTGCTTTTTACTCAGCTTTAGTTATATTTAAATTAGTTTTGTAGATTATCTTAATTATTAAAAATAAATAAATTTTTAAAAAATTAAAAGTAATTTCTTTGGCTAATTTAAAATTTTAAATATTGCAAATTTAATAAATTTAAAATAATGCATTTTTTTTATTTAAAAATTTAAAAATTAAATAGCATGATTTTTATTTAATTTTTCAAAATTTAAAAATACTAATTTATCTAATCAATACTAAATAGCTAATGTTAGTTTTATATTATTTCTAATTGTAATTTAAAATAATAATTTTTTATTGGCTAATTTTATAACATTAAAAAATTTCTTTTTTTCAGCTTCAGTTATCTGAGGTCATTGTTAAAACACGAAAATTTTTCAAGGAAGTTACAGGAACTGAAAAGCATATGGCTTTAGCCAATGTAACCCCTTCAGTAATTGAACATAAATTGGAAGATTTTAATATTAATACAAATCGTGACGAAGTTAAGGAATGGTTGGAACATATGGATTATGATCGGAAAGGGTAAAGACAGTTTTACTTATAAAAATAAATTATTCATACTAATATTCTTGACATGTTGATTGTTACTGCATTGTTAGGTAGATTGCTTCCCTCAGCACATCTCTCAATTAGGCATGTTATTGTGTGCGATTCTCATTTGTAACATTTATTCATCCAAATCCATAACAGACTTTCCAAAACTATCTGAGTTATCTTGTAGTTGTCATATAAAGCAAAAAGCTCTTCAAATAGACCAAATAAAAGATAAATCTATCAATTCAGATAAAAACTAGTGATAGGATGATTAATCGGAATTGGAAAAATCGGGCATATTCTGGGGATTGGAATCAAGAAAAATCTCATCACAATTTCCGATTCTTAAAAACGATTCTTTCCCATTTTATAAGAAAATTAATTATTTGTTTCATTTGAAGATTAAAAATTTTTTAAATTACAATGTTAACAATTAAATATTAGTTTTTTGAAAACTTTCACATCAATAAAGCAGAATTACACAATGGCTCGTCCAAGAGGTGACATCCATCGTGGTGGACTTTTCTTTTGTGTGGTCAGAAAGACAACAGATTGCACTCGGTCAGTTCTAACTGTCCCCATTTTAGGGAAGATAGGATGACTTTAGGGTTACCATTTGGCTGGCATTGGGCCAGCTTGACTGGAAATCTGTATTCTGTATATCTATATAGGCCTAAATATTAAAAGTAAAATGTTTCTCATTGTTCACCCAAATATTGTAAATTTTAAAATTAATTTCATTAAGATAAGTATGTATAAAAGATAAAAATACTACAAAACTACTATTGTTCAGCCCACCAAGAGAAGCCAGTTAGTGTAGAAAAGTGTTCAATAAAATATGAGATAAGCAGTGGGTCAGGGGTTAATCTTGTATTAACCAGTTAATCTGCACAGGCTGGCAAAGCCCGATCTTGGAGTCGTTGGGATGGCTAGGAGGACAAAACGAGTGGGGAGTGCATCGGTAAGTCAACAGGTTTCCTCAGAGAGACAGGAGACAGGTTTAACAAATAACAAAATAAAGGTTTATTTTATAACTAAAGTTAATTTACAGGAGTATACATAAGGAAGTTACTGATTATTGCACAAATCTATCTATAATGGCAATCCAACTATTCACTATGCCACGTGAGAGTTTACAAAGGCTCTAGAATGAGAGTTATATTATTGGCGGTCAGGTATACCTTATGTTGGGTGACGGTATGCGACGATCATTCTAGACCAAGGGTGGGCAACCTTTTTTATAACATGGGCCAGAATAAATTTTACGCTTTTTCCGCGGGCCATAGTAGTTAATTGACACCTTGTGACCTGTAAATTTTTAGTCTAATAAATAAATAAAAAGAAATTAATTACTACAGTCGACCCCCCTATAACACTGTTGATTATTCCGTTTTATATGAATTCCATGTTGTATGAGTCACTTAGATTTTACAAATGCGTGTGCCGGGCTGTGAACGGCTCACCTATTTATAAAATCTAAGTGACTTTAAAGACAATAAAAACAGCACTATGTAGTTGGATACGACAGACATTACATTTTCTAATTGCATAGCTTTTGCACATAAATTTTCTTGATGGATGATGCGATGAAATATAAATAATTTTGAAAAATTCTGTTCTCCCATTTTTTGTTTGAATAAGGAAATGACTCCCTTATTTTTTCCTGTCATTGCTGCCGCAACACTTCAGAAAATAATATTCAACTTAAACTAGACAAATTACATCGAAAAATATTTATTTATAATTTCTTCTAAGCATCTCGCGGGCCGGATAGAAACTCTTCGCGGGCCGGGGGTTGCCCACCGTTGTTCTAGACTATGGAAGCTGGCTGGCTGTCACAGGCTTATGTCTTCTACTGGCTTCTCATTGGACAGGACTGGGATGGGAGACACTTGTACTCAGACCTTCCTGATGATCGCGTGGAGGGACAGTTGCACTGAGGGGACGATCACTCTGAACTTCCCATGATGATCGTTTTTATACGATCGTCATTTGCACCAAGCCAACAGATCGTTCACTCGTTATGATGACTAATTGGCACATGCACGTTGACTAATTAACAAACAGACGATGACTTGCTTTTCTTCCTTCCTACCCTGTCAATGTGTAAGATTTGACATCTGACCTATTTCGGTTATAACTTGTGATAAATTTTTTTTCATCCTCTAATGTAAAAATAGGTTAAACTCAAAAATTTACGCCTTGAAAACGCTAGGACTCACAAAAATAACATCAGTAAATACATTGTATTATTTTTCTGCTAATAAATATATGAAACAATGTCATCAAAACTCATGAAATTATTGTTTTCTGGTGCCAAATATATAGTGTATTATTTATATTTATTTATCATGAATATACTCCTTTCTGATGCCAGATGCAAGAATGCATTTTACAAGACGACATGTAGGTGGTAGGTTAATAACAGGTTTCCAACTATGATTTAACTCATTTACAGAAATCAGTGGTTTAATAAAGTCACTCTTTAAACATATGACAATGTAAATAGAATATCTAAAATAGCATCATTATCCAGAAGTCAATTGAAATAAGATTTAGACAATTTGTCAATTTAAGTACAGTTTAATTTATTAGAGAGCTGAAAATATTTACATTATTTCTTGAACTTTAAGTTATTTGATTCATCAATTGAAGAAACTTTCAAATTAGAGTAATGAAATTTTGTAATTAAAAGATTGTTGTTCCAATGACTAATTTTCATAAAGTTCCTTTGATTGATGACACCTATTGATGGATCAAAATGCAGCTTTACCAGCTTTCTGATAAAGAATAAATAAATTTAAATACTGAATCATTCATTACTTACAGTAAAACCATTTTAAAATATTTGACATACTTTTGAAAAAAGAAAATATAATAGATTTTTTTTTTTATACAAAAATATTATATTGTATTTCCAACAATAAATCCAGAACTATGCTATAATTTGTCAGAATGTTTTAACTTGTGTAATGATGTATGATATTTTTATTTCAGATTAATGAATTTATTTTCATGGAGTGGATTAGTTGACATGAACTACCTTATATCTGAATTATTTATAGTGCCAAACATAAAGGTAAAATTATTTAAATATTAACATTAATAAAACTAGTAAATAGCTGAGGCAATAATTACATTTTAAAAATTTTCACAATAATTTAATCGAAGAAAACACAAGAATTTGTCCATCAACTTTCATCCTTTTTTACACCTCAGGAATAAGCATTCTTACAGTTGGGTCAACATTTTATTGTAGACTTTTATCTGCCTTAATATGTAATCTACCTGTGTTTTCTTCAATTAATTCCTTGTGAAAATTTTTAAGATTTTCTTGTAAATTTTTAAAATTATTTAGTTTATTCTTTTAGGTAAAGTAAATCTGACTAAATTTAATTCTATAATTTTATTATTTACTTTTGTTAATACAATAAAGCTAACATTGCAAAATAATAAAATAATGTAAAAAAATCCTTTAACAAACAGAATAAGTTATAAAATGATTCCAGCACTTTCTACTATTAGTTCAAGAGTTTTCTGATGATTACCTAGTATCAAAAGCAATTGAACCTTTTTTATAAGCTATTCTGTTCCATAAAAACTGTTTCCTTATTATATTAATATGACATATCTCAGATTTTAAATTTTGGTTAGTTTGATCATATATATATGATCAAACTAAATTTTTACATACTTAACTAATAATAGTTCACGAAAATTATTATTTTCGTGAACTATTAGTACTTAAGTATGTAAATTTTCTCTTCTCGTCTTCTGTCGATACAGGTGGTCCTTCTCGAAACTTGTTTCAATGTTGCCAGATCTTGACGCTTCTGCTTCTGATGTTGCCGAATGTTTTTCCCTTATTCCATACTTGCTTTGGTTAGTTTGATCATATATGATCAAACTAACCAAAATTTAAAATCTGAGATATGTCATATTAATATAATAAGGAAACAGTTTTTATGGAACAGAATAGCTTATAAAAAAGGTTCAATTGCTTTTGATACTAGGTAATCATCAGAAAACTCTTGAACTAATAGTAGAAAGTGCTGGAATCATTTTATAACTTATTCTGTTTGTTAAAGGATTTTTTTACATTATTTTATTATTTTGCAATGTTAGCTTTATTGTATTAACAAAAGTAAATAATAAAATTATAGAATTAAATTTAGTCAGATTTACTTTACCTAAAAGAATAAACTAAATAATTTTAAAAATTTACAAGAAAATCTTAAAAATTTTCACAAGGAATTAATTGAAGAAAACACAGGTAGATTACATATTAAGGCAGATAAAAGTCTACAATAAAATGTTGACCCAACTGTAAGAATGCTTATTCCTGAGGTGTAAAAAAGGATGAAAGTTGATGGACAAATTCTTGTGTTTTCTTCGATTAAATTATTGTGAAAATTTTTAAAATGTAATTATTGCCTCAGCTATTTACTAGTTTTATTAATGTTAATATTTAAATAATTTTACCTTTATGTTTGGCACTATAAATAATTCAGATATAAGGTAGTTCATGTCAACTAATCCACTCCATGAAAATAAATTCATTAATCTGAAATAAAAATATCATACATNTAATTTATATATAATACTAAACAGACGATAGCAAACTCAATTTAGCCGCTCCGTAGCGTGGCGCAGGGTCGGAGGTAAGTAGTTCGGCTGCTCATCCACTATTGGTCCAGACTCTATCAATCTTGTCGCGAAACGACGTTATAGGAGGTACTTTATACGAAAGTTTCTACAATTTTTTCGCTACGTTATAGGAATTGTCGTTATAGGAACGTACGTTATAGGGGGGTCGACTGTTATATATATATATATATAAAATAAAAACAGGAATGTTATTTTAAATTATTTGCTTCTGCTTGCAATTTGAATCTTCTATGAAAATAGCAATTGATATAATCTTAATACTTTACTTACTTATGGAATTTAAACTTTTAAAAAACTAATGTTTGTGAAAAAATCACTAAATTATTTACTATTGTGCTTTTTACTTGTTGTATTGTACTTTATATTTTTATATAATGCCAAATTCTTATGTAATTGTATTGTAGAAAAATACACAAAAAAAATCAATTTTTCTTTCCATTCTGACTTACGGCGGGTGGATAACTTTAAAAACACTTATTTCGAGTTTTAAAGTTATTCGCCCTTCGTAAGTCAGAACAGAAAGAAAAATTGATTTTTCATGTATTTTTCTACAATACAATTAATTATGTAAGAATTTGATAAAATAATCTGATTTCATCATTTTGAATACAGGTAACCCCCGTATAACACGGCACTTCTATAGCACGGATTCGCTCTAACACGGTTCGAGAATTGGGTAAAACCCTCGTACAACAGGAAATGTAATAAATTTTTACATACTTAAGTAATAATAGTTCACGAAAATTATTATTTTCGTGAACTATTAGTACTTAAGTATGTAAATTTTCTCTTCTCGCCTTCTGTCGATACACGTGGTCCTTCTCGAAACTTGTTTCAATGTTGCCAGATCGCGACGCTTCTGCTTCTGATGTTGCCGAATGTTTTTCCCTTATTCCATACTTGCTTTATTCTTCATAAGTGCTTAGCACCATATAAGGAAATTTATAAAGACCTTTTAACTAGAAGCAAGCAATCTAAAATTACATACATTTTGCAAAAGGTAAAGCATGGATCTGAAGATAATGCAGAAAAATGCTCAGAGGATAAGGATAACTTGCCAAAAAGAAAACGCTCTCGGTTAATTAATAGTGTTTTTAGTGATGACGAAGAAAACATTGTTTAATTTATATTAATATGTATCACTTAAAAAAATTTTAATGAAGATATTTATCTTAATTATGAAAATATACTAGCATGTTTTTTAATTTTTGGAACCTAACCCTCCTTTTTATATTAGTTCTTTGTTTCGTATAACACGGATTCGCATAACACAGCAATTTTTTGGAACGTAACTACCGTGTTATACGGGGGTTACCTGTAATTAATTTTTGATATATATTACATTGTGTTTAATTTAAAAATAAATTGGATAATAATTTTTAATAAAACTTATAATAATGTAATATAATACTTATTATGTGAATTAAAATTTTTTTTATTGTAAGTTTCTTTCAATATTTATGTATGTCAATATTTTAATTAAAATCATATTTTAGTCAGGTAGAATGGAATCAATCATCTCTCCATTAACTGAAGAAGAAGAAGAAATGTTCAAAAATATGATGAGACGTTTACATCACATTGCAAAGGTAATTTGAAGTTTTGTTAATTAGAATTATTATTGAAATAGCTTTTTATTAAAAATTTTAAATGTAAATTTATTTGATGAAAAATATATATATAAAACTAAAATCATAAGAGCTTAACTTTCATACAAAGTAGAAACAAAACATCTTTATTTAGATTTAGCAGTAAAACTTTTATGAAATTAATTTTTTCATAGTTATATCATAATCCTTTATGTTGCAAAATATTTTATAAAACATTGCATTTGTGGGTGTTATATTTCAATTAAATGAGCATTAATGCAAATTATATAAAATAAATAAGAAAATATATAAACATAAATGTTATTAAATATATATGTAGATAAATGTTAAAATACAAACATTAAACAAAAATGAAAATAAACATAAGTATGCAAATCTAATTACAAACCAATAAATTTAGAAACAATTAAGAATAAGGCTGTTTTGTTTCCTCTTTTTATTTTAAAAAAACCTAGTTGGAGTTCCTTCATCTTAGCTTTAGCTTTAATCTTTAACATCACAAATAAATTTAGTAAATAACTCTTTTATATAAGTCTGTAGGATTTTATTTTTATTTGCCATGTGGGCACTAAGATGGCCCCCTTTTTTTTCCTTTATCTTTTGACTGAATCTACAATGATAGCCAAGGTTTAATGTATCTAGGACTCATCAGTTATGAAAAATTCCTGAAGTATTCATTCCAGATTTCTCAGAACTGTAGGCTGACAACCTTCTCAGCTATCCAGCTTTCAAACTATAATTTAAAACTTTTTTATATTATAAAATGTTAATTTAGTACAATTTAGAAGCATTTGTATAGGAAAAAAATTTTTTCTTTAATTTATTCAATTAAATTTTAAAAAGTTTAAATTAAAACAATAAAAAATGATATTGTGAGAAATAATGGTTTATAAGATGATGATATATTGTTAGGACTGAAATTCTTACTATCAGTTTTTAATTATTTTTTCAACTAATAAAAAAAATTATTATACAGTATATGATATGACATTAAGGATAAAGAAACTGTTACAATTAGTCTATTTTTTTTCAATAAAGGCAATCATCAGAGAATATTAATGATTTTTTTTAAAACACTTTCATGAATCTCTTCTATAATAAAAGTAAAGTACACTTCATGCCAACATTTAACTGTATAATGTAATTACATTTGCGAATTGTGGCATTATCAATGGTGACTTTTAGAGTATAAATGAGTTCACAAGCACTTTTGATAGCATGAAGCTACCATCGTCAGGTGAATATCAAATACAGTAGCTTTACGCTATTGAAAGTGCTTGTGAACTCATTTATACTCTAAAAGTTGCTTTTGGTAATACCACAACATGCAAGTGTAATTACGTTGTATGAATATCTTTATTATGAAAGACAATCTTAACTTTTAAAAATGTTAAAGAGAAATTGAACATTGCTATTTTTAAAAATCTTGAAATTATAAATTCAGCCCCCTATGTATTGAAGGCAGTTTGTTCTGAAATAGAACAAACTGCCTTCAATACATAGGGACAGTGTTTAAAATTTGAAAATTTACATAACTAGATATAATGTTATTATTGTTTTGATTAAATTATAATTATGACATTATTATTTCAGTATTGAACAATAATTATATTATTTTACAAACAAGATAATTTAAAGAATAGCTTCCTTATACTAATATCATACTATTGCTTTAAAAGCTGCTAATGTTTTAAGTTTCTAAAACTTGCATTTTTGTTTTTTATTTAATTTTAATACTATGATATGAATGATTATTTTTCAATACTTTATGCAAATTAAGTAATCATAATATAATTTTTACTCGTTTTAACTACTGTATTTTTAATATTTTTTCTGTAAGATTTTCTATATATATATGATCTTAGAAGTATTTTTAATATTACCACTGTTCAGGATGCACTGTTCTACAATAATTGAACATTTCTACAGTTTAAGGAATGTAAGTTTATCTGGTAATGATTTTGATAAACATTTAAAAAGATTGTTTACAAATTAAATTAGTAAAACCAATCTATTATGAGAGTCATCATCTTTAATCTCCTTTTTAAGAGACTGATGATCTCATTATGATGATGATGATGATAAATATATGACTGTATACCTTGAAAGAAGTAATAAATCAACATTTTTGAAATAAAATGTAAATATTAATTGCATATATAGTGGAACCTCGCTTAATGAGCATAATTCATTCCAGAATCTTATGCGTAATGCAAAATACTCATTAAGCGAAACAGTTTTTTTCATATAAATAATGTAAAATGTGATAATGCATTCCATGCCGGAAAAAACACTCAAATATTTTATGCATAATGTTTATTCAAAGAAAATTATATAATATACATTGTTAAGGAGTGTGAATCAGCTTCATTTTTTTTCTAGCATGGAATGAATCAACCTGGAATGCAAATTCGATTTGCAAAAAACAAAAAAAAATATCACAGATAATATGTCTGATAAACACGCCAAATGATATGCGAAATTCTTGGGTATGCAAAGGCTATAATTAAATATCATAAATTAATTAATTTGACTAGAAGTAGGCAGTTATGCTGCCATCTTGTATTAAATTTAATAATTATAAATAATTTTTAATTTAGACCTTTTTAAAATTTAATTTGGAATTGGTCATTAAATTTAATACAAGATGACAGCCATACTGCCTAGTTCTAGTCAAATTAATTAATTTCTAATACTTAATTATAGCCTTTACATAGCTCAAGAATTTGGCATATCGTTTGACATGTTTATTATATACTGGGCAATGGTTGTTGATGTTTATACGTAATATGTGTGAACACAAGTTTGGAAAAATGTTTGATCACNGTAGACTACCTCACAGCCAATTCAGGTTATAAAACTCCTTTTATTGCTTTTTTACCGATGCATTTTGAGCCAGGTTAACTTTCTAGCTCCTCTTCAGTGCTTAAGAGTCTCCATAGGTTACAATGGCTTAATTTCACACTTATATGGTACTTTTACACTTATACGTACTTTTAGTTCCATTTACAATATTTTTACCAACTTAAAGAATTACATTAAGGGCGTTTATCGTGTTATATCGAAAGGATGTACAGCTTGCTACAAGGTTTCTTACTAATTAAAAGCTTATTATTTTCAAAATTTAACAGTATATGTTTATCTTTTTAAGACCATTTAAAATACAAAAAGGTTTTTCGCGACAATGTATAATCCTTACGATATAATTAACTCCTTTAGAGTTAATTATAAAAATATTGTAAATGGAACTAAAAGTACGTATAAGTGTAAAAGTACCATATAAGTGTGAAATTAAGCCATTGTAACCTATGGAGACTCTTAAGCACTGAAGAGGAGCTAGAAAGTTAACCTGGCTCAAAATGCATCGGTAAAAAAGCAATAAAAGGAGTTTTATAACCTGAATTGGCTGTGAGGTAGTCTACTGGAAGTTTTTTCAGATTAAAGAGACATTACTTAATAAATTTATATAATAAACTTTATGTAAACTTATAAGTTATATATATATTATACATAATATATTATATTTTATATAAATTTGTTATACAAGCTGTCACAAAAATTTCAACAAACAGGAAAATCTAACACTTAGTTTTAAAAAGTCACATGTTTAAAACTCTACATGTTGGCTGGCAGTTCTGCAGCAACATCTTTTTTAATTGAATAAGATTGAAAGTGAAAAAAGTCTTTCTTAACACACTATTGTTTGAAGGTAGTTCTTGATCAAGTTTGGCTTTGAAAATGAGTGTTCTGCAATACCAGTACAATTAAATCATCAAATTAATATTTATTGAAAATATAAATACTAAAATATACTACCAAATTTGTAAGAGCCTAGTTATTACTTATTTTGCCTCTGCGTAGTATCGCTTCTGATGATGACAACAAACAATTCATAAACTTGGAAATTGATGATCCAATTTTTCTATTTATTGCAACCTTTGAGACACCATATCCACGAGTTTCCAGAGAAGATTCGTGTATTTTCTCATACTGTAGCACCACAATCCCACCGCCACTAAGATACTGCAAGAACTACAGAATTGCAGAACTATAGAATTGAGAATATAATTGATTTTGAAATTACTAATAGAAATTCGTTCATAATACTCACTTTGTTAGTAATTGTAAGGGTTATTATATTTTAAACTATAAAGAGAGTATTTTCAATCATTTTTATACAAGTTTACATTTTTCCAATGTAAAAAAAAAGCATACTTCATGCATCATGGGGGAAATATCTTATAAAACTGAAAAATTTTAAATAAAGTTTAAAAAGCCTGAATCCTATCTTTTTGTTTCTAGAAAATAACTGGCAAAATTGGCTTCTGTAATTTTACTAATATTCCATTGTTATTATCTATCAGGATATATTTATATTGCCATTTCATTCATAAAGTAGTCCAAAATAATCACAGAATATAATAGAATTAAATCTAATGCAAAATTTTTGGATTTTTGCATAGTTTCTTCTACAAACTTATTTTTAATTATTTTTATCAATAAAATCATGGAATAATGACATGACAGAGTGCCACCTTTGGAATATCCAGCTATATTTGAATATCTTATTAAAAGTAAAGCCCATGATTACTGAGAAATGCTTACTTATAGGAGTCTTGACTCTTATAATTATTTTTCAGGTTGTTTTTGTGTACATAGCTTCAAACCACTTATAAAGAACACACTGGCCATTATGGCAGTCAACTACTGCACAATAGCTACCCAAATTGGTTTTATAAGGCATGTTATCAATGAAAAACTAAAAGTTGCAGACCTACACTAACAACTAGCAGTATCTTAATGGCTACCAAGATATATGACCTTGTGTAGCAAATTCAAAAACATTCTGAAAACTTGTAGATAAAATAAATTTTATAAAAATTTCAAACAAATTTCATATGTTTACTTTAACTTTTATTTATAATTTAGCTTAATATAAATTTCTATAGTTCATTATAAATATTATTAACATAATAGTATAATGAACTATAAAGTTAATAATTAGTTAAATATTATAAATAAAATATTTAAACAAAAATTATAAATTTTAACTATTTATATATCTACCTTCAGGAAGCATATAACAATCTTGTTCTTGATATGGAACTTGCTAAAAGACAGAATGTTTATTTTGGTGCAAAACTAGTCAGAGGTGCTTATATGGAGCAGGTATTTTATCTTTTATATATAGTTTCATATGTTTTTTTGTAAATTTAAATATAAAAAGACAATATTTTAATTATTATTATATTATTTTTGAACATAATTGTAAATAAGGACAATTATTTCATTGTAGAATAAATTTTTGCTGTTAGTAAGTTATTAAATATTACCTCAATGATAGTATGCCAATTAAAGATTTGAGAATGAAAAGGTCATTAAATATATAAAATATTTTTACAAATTATATAGTAATGAAAATATAATAATGTATGATGATTAGAATTTGAATGAAATTATTTTTGCCATAAATTCTGATATTTCAAATTTGACTTATAAAAGGAATAAACATTATATCCAGGAAAATCTTTACTGAAAATATATATTTTTAATATTTCAGAATTTTCTTTGGGCAGTTAATATTTTTATCTGATTTAGGCCTGTGCTTAATTCATATAAAGTAAATATATTAAGCATATATCAAATTTCCTATTTTATTAATTCTGATTACAAATGTAAACATGTTAATTTATTTTTATGAATACAAATATTTTGAATTTGCATTGATAAGTAAATAAATAAATTTATAACCAAATTAATTGTTTGAAAATTATTTCATTTTTTTTTTAATATAGGAAAGGTTGAGAGCAAAACAAATTGGATATGAAGATCCAATTAATCCATCATATGAAGTAACAAGTGACATGTATCACAAAGCATTAACTGAGGCCATGAGACAGATTATTAATGGAGGAGATCGTAAAGTTGCTGTAATGGTGGCATCTCATAATGAAGATACTGTTCGGTTTACTGTTAATAAGTAAGTAAATCTTTCATTTTTGTATATTAAACCATAACAAAAGTAAATGGTTCACCATGTACATTCTTTCATCATGAGAAATATTAATAAACATTGTAAATAATTTCTATATAAAAGTATAAATTATTAGAAATAAAACATTCTAATAAAACCTTTTTATTTTTTAAAATTTAAATATTTAATTCTTTAGAATGAAAGAACTAGGAATCAAGCCAGAACATAAAGTTATTTGTTTCGGACAGTTATATGGAATGTGTGATCAAGTCAGCTTTCTGTTAGGTAAAATATAAATTATATAACTGCTAATTTTTTATGAAATTCTGAACAATAAGAAATAATTAAATTTTATTATTTTTGATTATTTATTTTATTTTACTCATATGATTTTGTTATATAATTTAGGACAAGGTGGTTATTCCGTTTACAAATATGTACCATATGGACCAGTGGATGAAGTTTTGCCTTATTTATCAAGACGAGCCTTAGAAAATAATGGATTACTGAAAAAAGTGGATCGTGAATGTATATTATTAGGTAGAGAACTGAAACGCCGCATTTTAACTGGACAATTTCTGTACACGCCAAAAGGAGATTACACAGTTGTGTGAATACAAAACTTTTTGATTCCTAAGTTGTAAGAAAATATTGTGAAAGGTATTTTTGTCTGCTTGAATTGAATTTTCCACAATTCACAGAATTTTTCCTTTCTTGTAAATTAGCACAAAACAAAAATAATAGTCATTTTTAATTACTGAAAAGTAATTTGTATATACCATTTTGTAACTTTGTATCATTTCTCTATTTTTTTCAAAAATAAGAATTAATACAAAGACTCTCAACGTATGTGTTGTACATGTTTGAAGAATCTCCAGATTGTTTTTAAATTAAAATATAATCATTGTCAAATAAATTCAATTGACAGTTAATTGTTTTTAGATTACTTCTTCATAGCTTTAGTGTAAATTTGTAAATTGCTTAAATTTCTTTTTAATAAAGATTTGAAATAAAAGTTTGAATTATAAAGTTTTATATTACACATTTAAGTATAAAAATATATGCAGATCACTAAATAAATTGCCTTATGATAAATGGCAAGTATTTAATTTTTTTAAATATAAACTTTGTGAATTTTTTTGCTTTCTTTCCATCTCTGAATCCAGCGACAGTCCAAAACAGAACTCTTATATGTGGAGATGACCTTTCCTTTGAGGCTACGGTCCCACAAAATCATGTAAATGGAAATTTCATTTACTTCATTTAATGTATTGTATTATGAATTTGGCTAATTTACCAGAGGACACTGTTTCCTTTTACATGATGTTACAGGACCATAATCTCAAAGGAGAGGTCGTTTCTGCATATAAGAATTCTGTTTTGGACTTGCTGGATTGAAAGATGGAAAGAAATAAAAACTTCGAATTTATTTGTTGTGTCTTATGATAGCTTATGCAATTATTTTTATGCTAAATCTAGAATCTTATATAATAATTGTATGGAAAGATAAATATTTTATGGCTTTTTTTGTCATCTTTTGAAACAAGGATTTACCGGTATGACTTTGTAAAATTCATTCGGTATCTGTCAGAAATAGTCCACTTTAATGAATCTCATTCTAACTTTTCACAAATGTAATTCTTTAACTAATCAGATGGTCTATGATGAATGAGACAAAACTATTTAATTCAATTTAGATAGTGTGTGTTGTACTCAAATCAACATACATCATGCAAAAGAAATATTATTTAGAAACATTAAAAAATGTTATATTCATCAGCATTAGAGAAAAAAGTTGGATATTAAAAAATTAACATTTGCAATTTGCTCTATTATAAACAAATTAGACAATTTTTAGCATTCATATATACTAAGGTTTTTTGCAAAATTGTTACCTTTTAGTCACTTATTAATATTATCACAAATCTTAACTCCAATTAGACGACATGGATTGACACAATAGATGACCGGCACGACTCTATTGTTAAAGGAAAAATATGATGTACAAGGGCAAGACACTACTAATTTGAGGACACATATAAGGTGGAGAACATATATTTTAAATTAAATAAATTAAAAATGTGATTTAAAAATTGCAGCCTAGCATTGGGACAATGTCACAATAAATAATTGCTCGTTTATTTTGAAATGCTTTCAAATATGCTATAATAATTATAAGCATTTTATAGTCAACTTATTTCAAAATTTGAAAAAAAAAAAAATGTATCTGTTATTAAATGCTTGGCTTCATCAAATCAAGTTTGTTTGCTAGCAGTTAGATTATTATTAATTCTACAAGTGTATCAAAAACTTCCAAGGCATCTGTCTAAATCAAATTTAATACATTAATATAAATCCATGAATTTCAAGTCTAAGATAAATGGCATCTGTTTTATTTATTTGCATTAATCACAAAGTCAAAGTATTACAATATTTTATATTTATTTGTATAAACAGTACATAAAAATTGAAAAGAAATGTTAGATGTTAACAAAATAAAAGTAACAATCAAGTAAATAATTGTTTAATATAAACAATATAAAACATGTAAATTAGTAAAATAACTCAATGTTAATTGTTAATCAATAAAAAGCTGCTAAAAAATATAGCAACATAGGAAAAATACACTGATACATTGTATCTTTGTTAACTTGGTATCTTACGATTGTAGCTTTAATTGCCAAGCACTCTAAATTTTAGATGCTTCCATAACAACTCTCTCTCTTTCCTAGCACCTAATAATACTGATCTGTTTTCGGTAGCTCTTCGGGCAAGATATGGTAATACTTCTTCCACAGTTCCATACGGAACAGATTTATAAACAAGATAGCCCATTGAAGCTAGTTAAGAAAAATCATCTTTAGCATGTCTCATAATTAAATCATACAGAAAAAGTAATTATACTTACCTAGAGGATATGTTATTTGGTCACACATGCCATAAAGTTGGCCAAAGTACACACCACCGCTTTGTTTATCAATAGCCAACTGATTCATCCTGTTAAGAAAAATGTCAGTAAATCTCAAAATTAAAGTTTTAGTTTTATGATAAAATGCATTACTTTTTAATTGCAAATTTAATACTCTCTTCATTGTGGCTGGCAATGATAATGTTGCATCTGGGACCAAAATTTGAAATGTGTTGTAGAAGATAACTCAAAATGCTAAAATAATTTTTATAATTGTTATTAGGATAAAATACATATTTAGTTATTTTGAAAGAAAAAAGTATAAGTTTACTTGTTATAATTCTTGCTAGTTAATTCATAGCTGTCACAAATGGGATATGGCAGACCTTTCTGAAGCGCATAATCAGTTTCTCGAGTTATATATGCACCTCTCACAACTTTTGCACCAAAACAGGTACCAAACTTATTAGCAATATTCATTTCCATCTTTAAATTTTCCCAAGTTTTCTAGATGTGTAAATAATTTCATTTAGTCCTCTACAAATTGAAGAAAATACAGAAATCAATATAATTCTTACCTTTAGATAACATTGATATGTATTCCAGACCAAAGGAGTCGAGGCATTATAACATAACATCATTGCCAATGCCAAAAGACTCAAACCTGGATTTAAGTAGGTATATTCTGCATCAATTAATAATTTTACATTTTTTTCTTTGGCAACCTGTTGAATAAAAACAGAATAATATGTATCAAAAAGCAAACTTATTATGATTAAAAATACACATGAATAGTTCTTTGAAATATTCTCATGCAGAAGTTCTTAAAACAGTTGCATGCTAAATGTTTTCAAGTTTTATACAAAATAAACTTATTAAAAGAGCAATAAATTCTTCTTTTAAAAAGAGCATAAAGGATAATTTTTCTATAAAGTATCTTAGTAACAATTATAGAATTTTCAAATTATATTTTGGATAGGATCTAAAATAGAATACACTAAATCCCATTTATGAAATTACACTTTACAACACTTATCCTCAATGCTAAAGCTGGCTAGTGTCATAATTCTTTCAGATAAAAAAAATAATATTAGCATTGGACGAATGAAATAAATCCTATACCACTTACAAACGTAGTCTTCTCTTCTTACACCTGAAACAAATGATATTATTTAATTGAAAAAGTATGCTGCTATAGTTTAAAGCTATTTTGGGACCAATACTTGTCAATTTTCTCCCAGATATGATGAATAAATGTGTTTACATATCTGGTTTATCGTCTAGATGGACTTATTCTGCTCATCTTCATCTAAGATAAGTGTAGAAAATTAGACACACTTTCATTACCTCTGCAATTTCTCTCAAACGCTTCACTCCAGATTCTAATTTATCTTTCTGTTTAGATGTAATCTTATCGCATTGGAAATCTTTCATCTGAAATACTTCTCTCGTTAGTAAAATATCTTAGATAATTTATAAAAATTACTGTACTTAGAAACTTACACTTCCTCTAGTCATGCAATTGGCAATACTTTCTATTAATTGTTCCTTTCTGTTGCTAGCTGTAAATATGTTGCTTATAGTAATCTAGAAAGATAAAATCGCATGAATAAAGGATAAAATTTTCAAATTTTAGAGCAATAAGATTTACCAGTAAATCTGCAGATAGTAAACCAGTTAATTTCAATTGAGTCATAGGAATCTTGATTTTGGTGTGTAATGTCATTTTCATACTGTCGAGAATCCTTTCTACGTTTCTATCATAAACATCTTCCTTCCTGATAAATTTAAATTATGTAAAAATCCTGAAAAACATATTGTAATAACCTTCCTTTCTACAATTATTATCATCTACAACTCACCTTCCTCCACAATCATCTTCTAAAGTGCATGCTAAGAGAGGTTGCACTCCTGCTTTTCTCAACTTTTCTATACATGATGTGATTTCTTCTGGTGTTTCTCCACCCACGAATTGACTATAAAATGTTGGTTTAATAATCGAACGAAATGCTTTCCTTCCCAAAATCTTCTGACTGTAAGCCATTAGCTGCAACAAGATTAATTTCGTTAGATCAATTATAGATACAATTTAATATTAAATCTAATTCATCGCTAGTTTTTAACTTTATCTTAGAATTAATTCACCGATTTTTGCAATTTTTGCTTCTTTTCCTTATTTACTATGATACAGCGCGATTCCTTTAAACTCTAAACAGAATTAAATTTTGAGATGATTAATTCATGATTCATTTTAATTACATTATTGATAGATGCAACTTTCTACAAAGTAATTCATCTGAAGTTTTTTTAGATATAAAATACCCCTTTGTTTATTGGCAAATTACATTTCTGTCATGCACGGGACCGAATTTGCGCGTAAGTTAAACATGCTATAGACACATATAGTTTAAGGCCTCATATTTTATATGTATCAATATTTGGTAGAAGGGAAGGACCTGTTATATTTACAGCTTAAGGCCACAGCAAGTCTAAATCCACCCCTGATCGGAGGGCTCTAGGTTCGATTTCCATTTTGATTTTGTTTTTTGAGCGTGTTTCTTTTTCAGAATTCCTAATTTTTTAACTTAAAATGAAATTTTAATAGATAAAAAAACACAATTTTCCTTGTTTATCCTATTTTTAATGCTATAATTAAATATATTTACAATACGAAGACTTCAAACTTCTATATCATATGTTTTTAATATCAATATAAATTAATATTTAAATTAAAAAGATTTTTTATAATCATTGCTGAATTAATTGCCTTGATAATTTCGAAAACATGATAGTTGTCAGAGTTTATTATTAAGTAAGATATCCTTGAAGAGAATAATTTTATAAGGAAATGGCCTTGCGCTTCTTACATAATATCTAATACTCCAAGAAGTAAATATTTTATATTAAATAATATATACTGTAAACTTTATTCGAATAAAAAGAAGAAAAAATAATCACTAACCTGTTCACTATTATCCACAAATTTATTGCATCCACAGAGTAAAAGTATGGCTAAGGAACGTGAAATTTCCCAAGAGGATTTCCTTTGGAAAGCTTTAAAATGATTTTCAAAATCGTTTTGCTCTCTGTGATGAAGTATTGGTGAATGAGAGGGCTCGACAGATACAGTAAATGCCCCTCCATCTTCCACTTGTCTGTTAAGCAAACGAGTGAATCCTCTAGAGAGCACCTTCGATCTCATGTTTATAATGATGCCACGCCGTTTCTTTACCCACTTATATAAGTTGTATGTTGTGTGAAAGCTCGAACGAACCGGTTCCAGCTGGTTTACCGACTTAAAATGGATAGTCAGACCCGCTCATTAACCAATAAAATTTAGCCACCGGTAAGACGAGACGAAACGACAGCAGCGAGTGCTCCAATTACGTTCTTTGTTTTTCTCTTAAGCTCCAACCTACGACTCCGTTTTTTTTAAAGTGTTTGTTTCTGAATTTAAACGAACTTCGTTTGCATTTATTTTCTTCTTATAAAAGTCACGGGAATGTCAGAAAATTACGTCATTTTTCCTTATTGTGAAATTAAGGTTCGTCTTAGTTTACTTAAAAGTTCATGTTTAGGCTGGTTTAGATAGGAAGGAAAGTTTCAATCCGTTAGAACTTTTTTTTTATGTAAGAATTAGAAGAACTGAGTAATATGTTTGTATATATAACGTCATCGACTGAAGGAAGAAGAATGCAGACAGAACATGTCTGTGTCTAAGGCCCGTGTTTCTAAGTGCCAAAAATTAGCAGCAGTTCTTCACGACTTTAGGCAAATGTCCAATTTTACTCCGACTTCCGGGAGGAAACTAGTACAAATTTTATTTGGTTTTTTAACCTTCCAGCGTAACAGTTATTTAGATTTTATTGATTCAAGTTTTTTTTTACATTTTTTTAATAGAAAAATCAATATGAAAATGGTAACAAACAAGTTCTGAAGTTTCACGCTTTGCATAAAACGTGACTAGCTTCTAGATTGTATTTGTATTTATTAATGTGTGTTTTCTTTTATGTATATTTGTTTACTTTCTCTTTGCCTGTCTGTTTACTTACATAGCTTTGATTTTTGTTTAACGATGATTACAATTATATATACAGCCTTAACCTCTATAGAATATGCTGTTTAATATAGAGAAATAATTTGAGATATCAAAATTTATATAGACTACATAATTGCACATGATGTGGATGAGAATTTGAATTACAAATAATGCCTTCCTACGAAAATATGAGGGCATAATTGATTATTCGTTATGTAATAATGAATAGAAAACATCATTTCTTAATCGTGTCTTCATTTTAAAATGAATTGCTGCAATTGGAATTTTCTCTTAATGAAGTTTATATACTGGAATATACTAATATATAAGCTTTAAAATCATCAGAAAAATTTACATTTATCTGAATTTTTATGGAATAGATTTTGAAAAACAATTTAGGGATTTTTTTGGAAACATTTAGAAATTTATTTCAAAATAAAATACTGATATTATGATTAAATTTTCCAATTAAATATTACAGGCATTGACGTAAACCAATTAAGTCAAACTACGTCAAAAAACTTGTACGTAAACAAATACAGTAATACAAATAATTAGAAATTATTTCATTCCTCAAAAATAAACAAAAAAAAAACGATGACGATAATCCATTTTTTTAAAACAATTAATCTAGATTTTAAATTCTAAAAAAAAAAACAAGGTTTTAGAATTGCAGATTTATCTTCGTTACTCTAGAATTTTCACAGGACATTACTCTAAAATTTCCAGATAAAAATTTTCAAAAATTTCTCCGAAATCCAAGATATTCTACACTTTATAGCATGATTTTTAGGTTTACGTATTGATATTTTATACAGATAAATCTGCAAATATCCTTCTTCTATGTGTTTTATAACATCTTGTTTCTATGTTACATATAAATGCCAAATATAAATTTTTTCGCAATAATTTCCTTTTATCTCTAAAGCGATTGACCTTCTTTTTTTTTTTGCATATTTTTTTACTTCTTTTGTAACGTAAACTTCAAGATGTGTATGACGAAACTTTGAAACGGAATCATATTTAATTTCTAAATTAATTTGTTTACTCAATTTACGACTGTTCGAAATGCAATTTTATTGTATTAATTTTAGATAATTTTCAAGAAATTATCAAGATTATCATCAGCAGATAGGAATTACGTGCGTTGTTATGTCTGTCGTCATCTGAAAGAACCACGATGATGCTATAGATGAACTTTGATGGCCGGGTTAATGTCAATATTACAAAATTTTAATTTCGTCGTGAGAATTGCTGATAAATAAATAAATATATAACCTTTTTCAACTCTCACTTATCTAATTTCTGATAATTTTTATTAAGTGATTATAAAAATAAAAATATATTTAATATTATTCATTATAATAATCATATCCTATTTTGAGAAATTCTGGATGATTTTTTTTTAGGAAAAAATGTCTTATCATCATCATCTTTCAATGTTTATTTTTAAGAAAAATGTTGAAATATTTTACTAAATTTTATCCCTTTTTTTTATTAATTTATGTAATAGTGTATTAAATAAGTATAATCTATAATAATATTTTAAAAAGTATGTTTTAATTACTTTTACTATATATTAAATTACTGTAATATAATTTATAAATTTCACTTAATGCTTTTATGTAAATTCCCTAATTTTCATATTATCAAAAGAATTATTTCCATCTAATCAGTTAATTTACTCTGTCTAATTTCTGTTATAAAATATCAAAATTATTTTATTCTTTAAGCATAAGAGATTATTTATTTGTCTAAAAAATATTAAATATAAAGTTAGATCAGATCTTTATTCACTCTCGGATGTTAATATTCTTTGGCTAAACAGTGATAAACACGTGACACTATAAATTATTCTCCATCACTCCAAATAAAGCATTTGCTTCAGCTTCAAAGTATGATTTAATTAATATATGTGTATATATCATAGTGTATGCTAGTGTATACGAGAGATCTGCATAAGGTAAGTGTATTTTCATATTTAACATTTCGGTGATCGTTCATTTTTGTTTCGGATTCCAGTGAATTGGGAAGACTTTGAAAGGTACACGTGATCACGATTTCCGAGTTTGAAAAATCAATTATACGAACAGTTTTCAAAAATTAAATATAAAAATGGCATCCGAAGATCGTGATATTTGATTACGAAAGGAAATCTTGTTTGATTGAATGCATTTGTCTCATCTTGTTTCTCGTGAATTTAAAGCAATTTATAGAATCATTCGTTTGTTTTATGTGGAGGAATCTTGGCATTTTGTGTCGCCGATCCATATTCATGTAGTTTTTTTCATTAGTGGCTGTTGAATGACTATTCCACAATTTCATCACTTATATAATTTTAGTTTATTGAACTGTATTATGTCCGGATGAAATTGCGGATTCCGGTTTTTTCCGTAATAGCTATTCTGTCTAGTCATTACGGAGTTTTTGGACAAACAAAATTCCACTGAGGAGGGTGAGAACTTGACGATGGTTTCATGGCTTTCAAATGAATTCGTTTCCTCTCACCAACTTCACTTGGTAAGGAAAAAAAATTCTAATTTGTGCAAAATAAAAAGATATTTCATAAGTTATTCACATTATCAAGCAGAATTGGTAGCAATAGATCATGCAATTAACTGGATAAGTCAAAGGAAGAAAAATATAAAAATTACTATTTGCACAGACAGCCAGGCTGTATTAAAAGCTCTTAATGATGGTAACAATAAAAGTGAACTAATAGATAATATAAGACGAAANTTTAGTTTATTGAACTGTATTATGTGCGGATGAAGTTGCGGATTCCGGTTTTTTCCGTAATAGCTATTCTGTCTAGTCATTACGGAGTTTTTGGAGAAACAAAAATCCACTGAGGAGAGTGAGAACTTGACGATGGTTTCATGGCTTTGAAAGGAATTCATTTCCTCTCACCAACTTCACTTGGTAAGGAAAAAAAATTCTAATTTGTGCAAAATAAAAAGATATTTCATAAGTTATTCACGTAGAATAAGATATAAATCAGACTAAATGAAGTTTATACGCGAATAGAAACTATGTAGCAATTTTAAAAGCGCGGGAATATTGGGGACAAGTTTAATGACGTCATTATGTTTGTATCATTGCGTTTGTATCTATACACCAGACAGTATCGGATGATACTGTTTGATGTCGATACAAACAGACCGACAGGCAGTATCATCCGATACTGTCTGTCGGCAATCGAATGAGTTTAATTATCAATAAATTATACAATTTAATCAATTTTTCCAAATTTACGAACGTTATGTGATTTAATATTTCAATATTTAATCTTATTTACGTTAAATAATATCATAAAATGTTGAAATTTTTCTCTTGTTTTTCGAACTTTCCCTTTGTAAAAAAAGTTGTGTGTTTTCNCGACGTGTGATTTATAATGTATCCAATTATATTACTGTCAATTCATATTCACATCACAAAGTTACTGAATAATCTTTCTCTACGTCCATTTATTCTATTGCTTTCGCAGTGTCGCGAGACTACAACTCTAAAGGATTTTGTCTTAACACGCATAATTTAGATCAGTTAACCAACTGATTTACTAAAATTCTGTTCTTTAAACACTGGTTTAGACTTATGCTATGTATTGTACATCTGGATAAAACCACCAAACACTAGCAGTTGGTCGTGGATTCGAATCAAATGTATACACAAATCAATTCATATATAGAAATTCAATCAATATTTTGGGGTGGTATGTACGACATTATCTAAGTTAGAAGTGTGTTAACATAACTGCCGAGTTTCATAGCAACTTGTCGAACGGCCTATGTGTGCATAGCGAACAAGCATATTCATTTATACATACATATAAGTTAAAGATACATACCAGAAGAAGAATCTGAAAAATTTCTTTAATTTAGAGAATTTTTCTTTCTTTGGTGCATGGTCCATTGATTGATTGACATGCACATTGGATGTCGTATCCTCGATTATCCTATTGTATCAAAATGAAAAATGTAAATGAATTGAAAACTATTGATAACATATATTTATCATTATTAATTAAAGATTAAAACAGTAAAATGGAATTGAACGTTTCAATGCAGGAAGGAATCGATTTTTCTGCATGAGTGAAAGTGTTATGTATCAAACTTTATTACACAATGGATGTTATTCATAGAGACAATCGGTAGATGAAAGAGTTATGTTACATTGACTTGATGTTTTCCAATGAAAGAATGTGCCCTCAAACGCTCTGTCGATTCAGAAACGTAACACCTTCATCTCTGGTAACAGTGTTAAAAATAGTATAAAACCTTACTATCATACAATGGCGTTCAAAACATTTTACAAGTTGGACATTAATATAATATGCTGTCAACGACTAAAAAGCTTGACCTGGATTCTATGGAACAAGGCAGAAGTAATACAAATACAGAATATATTAATCCATTTAACTTGCAAGAACCAAATGGAAATGCCTCTTTTACAACTTAGCAGTTCTAAATGATTCTATCTCAGACAAATCTACAATTTGCGAATTCATGTAATTGCCTGTGATAAGAACAAAGCTATATTCTTCACGTGGGACAGAGAATAGTGGAAGTACAGTACATAGGATTGAAATTCTATGCTAACTGCTACGGTCCTACCTACATCAGAAATACAGATCATTTAATAATAGAGATTCGTGCGACAGACAGAACAAGAATTTTCAGATTATTTGTCTCCTTCAGTTTCTGTTAGCAAAAGGTTATTTAAAAACTACAGATCATAAATTTACTGAAGATAGGTCACAGCTATCTACTTTTAGACAAACTTCCAATGAATAGAAAATGTTCTATGAAAACATGAAAATCCATCAACTTTAATGAATATTAATACTTAAATTAACCAAATGTAATATTGTATTAATTAAATCTTTAGATCTTCCGCTTCAATTCTTTTTCAGAAACATGTTCTAAATTAAAAATGGATCATTGTCGAAATCGAATTTATCGTCAATGAAGAACTTGCTCATTATCATTAAAGTATAAAAGAAATAGCAAAACTTAATTATAATTAGATCATTCATTTTATTATTTCTCTTTAACTAGATAAAATATTCACACTAAAATGTTGTTTTTATTGTGAAAAAATAAATAAAATCTATTGTTTAATGTTAGTGAATATATGAATATTAAAATATTAATTTTAATAATAAATAATATCTTTTGTTTTTCTATAATGTATTAATAAAATTATTTCATTTCAATAATATAAAACCAATAGAGGAAATTATATAAAAATACATATTAAATAAATATAAAAATCTTACCTATTGAAATCTTTAATAACTTTCGGCTCAACTTTCTCATCATAGGATACAAGATTATGCTCGCATTCATCGCAACCAGAGTAAACATCCTTTTCATAAACCTGTTGCGAATAATTAGAATCGTTGTCGTTGAAACAATCCTCAGAAAGGTCCAGAACAATTTCCAAATAATCTGTTTCTTGGTAATTTTTAAACTCCCAACTGAGGAAATCATTCCACTCGTCATTATCCGTTGGTAATTTCATACTGAGATCAGGAGAATCAAATCGTTCCTCACACGACAACTCTGCATTTCTAGGAACAATAACAGAAAATGAGATGAAAATATCTATTAAATACGTATATACGTAAGACTTTTATATTTAATCTTACCTATTAAGACAATGATTGTCAGCTTTCCGAGCACGCGATACATGATGATTTTCGCATGCATCGCAACGAAAGTAAGCATCCTTTTTATCAACCTGTTTCGATTTAGAATGGTTGTAACCGAAACAATCCTCGGCAAGATCGAGAACAATTTCCGAATAATTTGTTTCTCGGTAACTTTCCAACTCCCAACTAAAGAAATCATCTCGATCATCATAATCTGTTGGGAATTTCATGCCGAGATCGGGAGGATCAAATTGCTCCTCACACACCAACTCTGCATCTCTTTATATCTTCCACAAACTCATCCATCTCGAAATCTGAAAAAAAAAAAAAAAAAAATTGTGAATTATTTGGATCTTAGCGTCAGGGGATGGATAATCAAGCGAATATTTTTCACAGATTTATATACATTATTTACTTTGACTATCGTAATAAAATATATTCTACTCAATTTAAAATATGGAAATTTATCTTAAAATTAAAATTTCTTATTCTACTTCTTTGCTGTTAGTTCAGTTTAAGAACCTCAATTAAGAACCTAACGACAAGTTTTTAGATGGGTAATTCCATTTTTTATAAAAATATTTGTGTAGTATATTTTGTAGTCTTTCAAAATATTACTCACGTTTATATCCAACACAATTTTTCTCAGAAAAATCAAGCACAAATTCGCAAAGACGTCTTTTCTCTTCGAAAATATTCACTCAACAAAGCAAGCGTAACAATTGAAAAATCTATTGTTGCCCACATTCTTGCGTCTTCGCGTGACGTGGAGATGACGTAGTACAAATATCCGATGCATATTTCTTTGTTTCGACCATCCTTACTACAAATGAGTACTGTACATTAATTGCTGGCCATTTACAAAATATAGATAAATACTGTATATTATTAATGCATAAGCATAGATTTTATTTCATAAGTTGTTCTTTTTTCTTCCTTCTTTTGCATCAGTTTAAAAAAAAAAATTGTTAAATTTAAAATTTACATAGAATTTGGAACAAAAATTTTAATCTAAACCAATTTTATAGCAACATTTTGCTTTTAATGGAAATTTCTGGCAACATAACAACATGGCGGAAGCAAACGGCGCCATATTGGAATTTGCAGACTTATTTTATCAAAATAACTTTGAATTAATACAGATGAATGGTAAAAGTGATAGTGATAATGAAATATTTTTATTCACTGCTACTATTGCTATAATGAAGCCTAAAAGAACTTCTCTCTTTCTATAGAAATACGACGTTCCATACTCCATTTTCAAGCCTAGTCTTCTATGTACTACTAGCGACACTGCCATTATGTTTCAATTAGATATATTTAAAAAATTTTTAAATCATCGTCGAATAATCTAGTATTTAATTACTCCGAATGGGATTAAATAATATTACATATTAGCAATCTTATTTAATTTTTGTGATTATTTTATAAAATGTGACTATTTTATAAAATACAACTATGGTTACTAGATAAACTGGTTGGGGAGCAGAGCAGAATTTTCTGCCTAGAGCCATTTTTTCTTACTAGGAGCGCTGCGGTTAGGATTCGGACCACGGTCTATAAACATAAGGTCAGAACATCAATGTTTTATACGGAGACGCCATTTTGGATCCGCAGTTCCAAGGTCACGATTTCATGCTATGTACTGTAAACTGCATGAATTTGAGCCACTGAATTCCGTTTATAATTTCAAAAATAAAAGAAATGTGATAAATATATTTTTGTAAATCTGAAAAAACAATGTTTAATGTCCTAAAAACATTTGTTTTTAGGACATTAATTAGGACATTAGAACAAAAAAAAGCTGCACTAATTTGGAGGCAATTCTCTTTCTCTAGGTGTTTTTCTTGTTAACTGCAGACCTTGAAGGACTTGGTACATCAAAAAGGGTCGGAATTGCATTCCATTTCAATAATTTTCTTCCATTCCTTTTTTAAGTTCAAATTGTGACTTCTCAAAATGTATCTATAAAATTTAGTTACATTATATTACAAAAGTTATTTTAAACACTTCGTAAATTTATATTTTCAGCATTATTTTATCCACTAACATCACACAGTCTCGAACTCTCAGTTTGTTTCCATTAATCTCTTCTGCAATATCGATGCCATTTTATCTCGCCTGAATTTGTCAGCGGGAAAACGAAACACTCTTACACCTTTGGCTGTCGAATTTTTACAATTAGGTGCTGGACACCAAGCCATTTTAAAATAAATATATTATAACAAGAAATCCAACCTATAAAATTTAGTTACATTATATTACAATTATCCTATTGTATCAAAATGAAAAATGTAAATGAATTGAAAACTATTGATAACATATATTTATCATTATTAATTAAAGATTAAAACAGTAAAATAGAATTGAACGTTTCAATGCAGGAAGGAATCGATTTTTCTGCATGAGTGAAAGTGTTATGTATCAAACTTTATTACACAATGGATGTTATTCATAGAGACAATCGGTAGATGAAAGAGTTATGTTACATTGACTTGATGTTTTCCAATGAAAGAATGTGCCCTCAAACGCTCTGTCGATTCAGAAACGTAACACCTTCATCTCTGGTAACAGTGTTAAAAATAGTATAAAACCTTACTATCATACAATGGCGTTCAAAACATTTTACAAGTTGGACATTAATATAATATGCTGTCAACGACTAAAAAGCTTGACCTGGATTCTATGGAACAAGGCAGAAGTAATACAAATACAGAATATATTAATCCNTTTCAAGCCTAGTCTTCTATGTACTACTAGCGACACTGCCATTATGTTTCAATTAGATATATTTAAAAAATTTTTAAATCATCGTCGAATAATCTAGTATTTAATTACTCCGAATGGGATTAAATAATATTACATATTAGCAATCTTATTTAATTTTTGTGATTATTTTATAAAATGTGACTATTTTATAAAATACAACTATGGTTACTAGATAAACTGGTTGGGGAGCAGAGCAGAATTTTCTGCCTAGAGCCATTTTTTCTTACTAGGAGCGCTGCGGTTAGGATTCGGACCACGGTCTATAAACATAAGGTCAGAACATCAATGTTTTATACGGAGACGCCATTTTGGATCCGCAGTTCCAAGGTCACGATTTCATGCTATGTACTGTAAACTGCATGAATTTGAGCCACTGAATTCCGTTTATAATTTCAAAAATAAAAGAAATGTGATAAATATATTTTTGTAAATCTGAAAAAACAATGTTTAATGTCCTAAAAACATTTGTTTTTAGGACATTAATTAGGACATTAGAACAAAAAAAAGCTGCACTAATTTGGAGGCAATTCTCTTTCTCTAGGTGTTTTTCTTGTTAACTGCAGACCTTGAAGGACTTGGTACATCAAAAAGGGTCGGAATTGCATTCCATTTCAATAATTTTCTTCCATTCCTTTTTTAAGTTCAAATTGTGACTTCTCAAAATGTATCTATAAAATTTAGTTACATTATATTACAAAAGTTATTTTAAACACTTCGTAAATTTATATTTTCAGCATTATTTTATCCACTAACATCACACAGTCTCGAACTCTCAGTTTGTTTCCATTAATCTCTTCTGCAATATCGATGCCATTTTATCTCGCCTGAATTTGTCAGCGGGAAAACGAAACACTCTTACACCTTTGGCTGTCGAATTTTTACAATTAGGTGCTGGACACCAAGCCATTTTAAAATAAATATATTATAACAAGAAATCCAACTAATTGAAATCGAAAAAAATAATCAGCTTCGCTCTAGAAATACCGTACAAATAACCTCAAAATGATCCAAAATGGCGACTGCCGCGATGCATCACAATATCGTGTTTATAGACCTTGTTCAGGCTACCCACATTTTAATATATAATATTTACAGTAATTAATTAAATCTTAAAATTTAGATAATTCATTTAGTTCTATTTAGCCAAATATTATTTAATTTAAGACTTAAGTGTTTTCAGTTTATTTGATATTTATAACATTTAAAAAAGTCGTCATTTTAAAACAAAATGATGTAAGAATAGATTTAAAACTAAATTTTTAAAAAATTTCTAAGTACGTAAAAGAAAAAAACAATTTTTAATGTAATCGTTTTTAATTTATAAAATTTAAAGTCTAAAATTTCAGTAAGATCGATAAATTGGGAATGGAGCAATGTAATGAAATTTCATGAAACATTGTGCAATTTTATTTTTACGTTTACATTACGATTTTTCTCTAATGGAAAATAACGTTTCAAGTGAAATATAAGACAGAAATATATTTTTATATTTCTATTTAATCAAAGCATAATAAATAATTCAGTTCATATTTCGACACTAGGGGGCGAATGCTCCGGTAGACTTGATGGAGTTTGAACGTGAGAGGTGTTATGACATCTGTAAGACCGTTTTTTTCAAAAAAATAATAATTTAAATATAAATTAAGCACTAGTTTTATCGCTTAATTAAACTTAAAGAACTGGTTTTAACTTCTAACAATAAATTTAACAATTTCGCGCTGTGTTAATGTTATAGCTAAGATTTCATGCTTGAGAGTTAGTTTTTAAGGATTTAAGAATTAAAACTGTTCTTTCTTAATTCATATTTTCAGGAGCCAACTACTCGACCCGATAATGGTGTAAGAACTTTACCTATACCTACTGCTGCTATCCTTATTCTCTGTGTCTCTCTTTATGTTCTCATCATTTTTATTGTTTATCTAATAAGAAGATATTTAAAGGTACCATTTATTTATTTATTAGAATATAAAATCAATAATATTTTATTTAAAGTAGTAAAATTAAGTATATTGTTGATATGCGCTGCATTATTTTATTCCCTTAGTCAAAAGGAATGTGCAACAATCCCTGTAGTTCTGGATTTTCCTGCGGATGCGGATGCTGCAATAAATGCACTAGACTATGCGACTGTCAGATGATGTCGTGCGATGACTGTTTGGATGTCTGTTGCCCGAGAAAGGTTGGCAAAAACTACTTTACCGCCCATTTTTGTAAGATGTACGCTTGCCAATGGCTGAAAAAATAACTAATGCTGAATGTGCATTTTTTAAGAAGGCCTTTTACGAAGAGTGGTAAAGTATTGGCTTGCCTCTCCAAGCAATCTGGGTTTGTGTCCCGTTGGATCTTCAAAAATTATCGCCCTCTGATGTTGCTATAGGTTTGACAAAGATGATAATGAGTGCCAAAATTGAGCTCTTAAAAAATGCATATTTGCATTAGTTATTTTTTAAACTGATTTACAGAATTTAAAAATTTGCTCTTTTAAATAGAAAATATTGATTGATATCTTTCAATAGTTTTATTTTGAAATAGTATTCATCAAATTTTAAATATAACTATTAAAAAAACACACATTATTTTTAGAAACTTCACATGATCGACATCTGTTTCTGTTTTAATCCCGAAGGAATTTGTAAAAATGTAAGTACTTCGTCTTAAATTCGGTTTATCGTTAGCATTTCCAATAAGTTAACATTAATTATAATTTGCATATAAATTTATTAAAAGATATTTATTATTTTAAACAGTAATTAAAGTAAGAACAGTGTTATTAAATAAAATTTTTTTTTTTTACAACAAGCTAAAAACTGAATTCTTTTTTATTGATAATTTCTTTCATATTTTCAAAGATTAGTTTTATTTTAATTAAAATTGAATGCAAACTTTATGAAACAGACTACTTGCTAAGTAATTGATAATTTATGAACAGTTATCTTCATTGTGTGACAATTTTTTACACTCAATTATATCAGTTCCTATATTTGATATCATATTCATACTTTTGCTAATCATCGTGTTTAGTTATGAGCAACACTTTTCTTGTTGATATGAATAGATGTTGCGTCAAGAATTTTTTAATTGAAAATGTGGAAACTTATCATTGATTTTATATAAAAAGTCTTTACAAATTTCTTCTGTATCAATCAATATATCAT